AACAGCCCCTTAAAAGACAGGATCTTAAGCTCAGCTGACACAAATGGTTCAAAGGGAGATCTCTGTAGCCCAGCAAGAACCTCAGAGGTGGGGTCTTGGTGGGTTTAACCTCCTAGCACCTCTCAGGAACCTGATGATCAGATCATGCTTCTCCAGAGACCTGCTATCCACTGCGTCGTGATGTAATGCTTCCCTTCATAAGCCTGCCTGGTAGAGGGGGCTCTGGTCTGGGTGATAGTATCTATTACTGCCTGTAATAGGCCACTTAAGTGTTCAGCGTCCCATCCAGGAGCCACACCTAGAGGTTCCACCGATCTTGATGTGGGTACCATATGGTGCCTGTTCTTGAAAAAGGAGCTCCTTCCTTGGGGGAAACTGCAAGGTAGGGGCTGTCATGAGGAGCCTCAGGTCTGAAAACCAGGCCTGGGTGGCCCAACCACCAAGACCGGCTCCTCATCCTCCCTGAACTTGCACAATATCTGTTCAAGCAGGCTCACTGGGAGGAATGCGTACTTGCGCAGGCACTGGGGCCAACTGTGTGCCAGTGCATCCATGCCAAGGAGGGCCTCAGTCAGGGAAGAAGAAGTTTTATTTATATAGTGCCTTTCCATAGCTCAAGGTCACTTTACATAGTGTCTAGCAAAGCATTTGCACACCCATATTCACAATACAAACACATAAGGCCACATATAGCCATATTATCCAAAATACATATTAAAAAGATACGTTTTTAGCTGAGTCTTGAATGTAGACAAAGATGGTATATTACGAAGTGTAAGGGGTAGCGAATAATTTCGGAGCATTAACACTAAATGACCTACCACCTACAGTGGACAGCCGAAAACGTGGAATTGACAAAAGACCAAGCTCAGATGATCTGAGAGACCGGGCAGGAGAATAGGAGTACAGTAGGTCAGACCGAAATGGAGGTGCAAGACCATTTAATGACTTAAACATTAGAAGTAATATCTTAAAGTGAATACGTGATGCCACAGGTAGCCAGTGAAGATCATGCAGTAGAGGAGTAATGTGAACAGAACGCCTGGTGGAGGCGAGAACTCTTGCTGCTGAGTTTTGAACATACTGTAACCTTGCAATAAGTTTTTTAGGCAGACCAAGAAATAGAGCATTGCAATAATCCAGACGTGATGTAATTAATGCATGAATTAAGATTTCAGCATCAGCTAGAGTTAGAGAAGATCGAAGACGTGCAATGTTACGAAGATGGAAGAAAGAGGTTTTAACAACAGAAGAAATATGAGAGGCAAAAGATAGAGATGAGTCAAATAAGACACCAAGATTACAGACAGATGAAGCAGGCTTAACATGAACCCCGTCAATTTCAAAGGACAGGTCAATCCTTTTGACTGAGGTAGCAGAACCTATCATCAATATTTCAGTTTTGTTATTATTTAGTTTAAGGAAATTCAAGAACATCCAATGCTTGATATCCCTGATGCATGCAGTAAGTGAGTCAGGCAGTGATGACCTATCAGAGCTGGTGGTTAGGTAAATTTGAATGTCATCAGCATAGCAATGAAATTGAAGTTCATGCATGCTTATGATGTCACCAAGTGGATATATATAAATGATAAACAGAAGTGGACCAAGAACTGAACCTTGAGGAACACCCTGTGAAACTGGAGCAGTGGTAGATTTATACCCTTGTATGGTGATATAATATTTTCTATCGCTGATGTATGAAATGAGCCAGGAAAGAGCTGAACCAGTGCTACCGATATCAGAAAGGCGAGAGATGAGTATTTCATGGCAGACTGTGTCAAATGCAGAGCTTAGATCAAGAAGAATCAAAAGGTTTATTGACCCAGAATCCATGGACAGAAGAATGTCATTAACCACACGAAGAAAAGCAGTTTCAGTGCTATGTGATTAACGAAATCCTGACTGAAAAAAATCTAGATGGTCAAGAACTGTTTTTTTTAAGTATGGGGATCACCGCAGCCATTTTTAATTCTGCTGGAACAATGGCAGATGCTATACTACAGTTAATCATATGTGTTATGAAAGGTTCAACCTCAGGAACACACATCTTAATCAAAACAGTAGGTGAAGGATCAATCTGGCAGGATGTAGAATTTGACTTCAAAATTAGATCACTTATGGCAGCAGAAGTAGTGAGAGTAAAAGCAGAAAGAGAGTATGTTGTGTGAGCCGAGTCAGCTGACATCAAGTGAACATTTGAGTCAGTTGTATGAGGGGTGTCTTTGGAAATGGATTCAGTGATAGACTTCAATTTGTCTGAAAAGTAATAAGAAAATTACTTATTCACAAGCACCTCAGAGCCAAAAATAACATGTTGTGGAGGTTTAGTGAGTTTGTTGACCGTAGCAAACAGAGATTTGGGCCTGCACATGGAATTCTTGATAGTAGAAGAGACATATTAGGATCTTGCAGCATTGAGGGCAGTACGGTAATTGAGCAAATGTTCTTTCAAAAGCCAATGAGTGCACAGTGAGTCCTGTTTTTCTGTACAGTCTTTCCAAGCGACGTCCCATAGCTTTCATTGCTCGAAGTTCCGGAGTAAACCAAGGTGAAGCATGTGCAGATGGAACCAGTCTAGTTTTAACAGGAGCATGTTTCTCAAGTATTTGGGAAATTATATTATTATAGATGCTGCATATTTATGATGGACAGTTGGATAATAAACAATCTGACAAGGTAGAAACCCTTATTGAATCAGAAAAAGCAGATGGATCCACAGAACAGATTTTTCGATAAGTGAGCATTTTTTTCACAGGCGATGTAAAAATTGGAAAACTAAAACTGAAGTTTAGTAGTTTGTGATCTGAAAAAGCTAAATCAGTTCCACTAACAAGAATATTATATAAGCCAGATGTACACATAAGATCCAATATATGACCCCTGGAGTGAGTAGCAAAAATTACATGTTGAGTTAGACTGAAACAGTCCAGAACAGACATCAATTCGTTGCATTGTACAGTGCTTTCATGTATATTAAAATCGCCAAGAAAAATTACAGATGAATACCTAGCACAGACAAGAGTAAGTAACTCACTAATCTCAGAGAAAAAATTTAAATGAAATTTTGGAGGTCGATAAATTAAGATTACAGCCATTGATGTTTTGCTAGTCATTTTCAATACAAGATGCAACTTCATGGAACACAATCTTAGATATTTTGATACTCTCACGACAAACTACAGCCAACCCTCCACCACTACGATGGAGATGAGGTTGAGAGACATAGATGTACCCAGGTGGTGTTAAGATTTTTAAATTAAAAAAGTAATTGGGCACCTGCCAGGTTTCCGTCAAAAGTAGCATGTCCAGGTTTGCGTCAATGATAATGTAATTTAGCACAGATGCTTTATCAGTTAAAGAGCGAGTGTTCAATAGCTCACATCGCATATCTGAAGATGCAATATTGCAGTTTCCAAGGACATGATCAAAGCGTAATGGTCTCAGATTTCCAAAGTTGATTACACAATTTTCCTGTTGTGTTTTTCTAAAAGCACGGGTGTTGGTACAGATTACCGGAATACTAATTGAAGTCGAGCAGTGATAAATCCGAAGTTTCTTCCGTGAACGGTGTATGTAGCGGGGTCTGCGTAAAATTCCAAGTTGCTCACACCATTTATAAGTGTCCGGAGCCAAGTGGAGAGATCCTTTTAAAGTTCTAAGTTGAGCAGAAGAAAATTGCAAAGCCATCTCGGGAGAAGTCACTTTATTAACGTCAGCCAAAAACAGCACAAAAAGACCAAAGAGCAAAACCTGCAAATGGTTACGCGTTGACATGACCAAAAACCAATTGGGCTCACACAACAACTTATCGGTTTAACTACGTTAGCCAGAACCGTATCGAATCCACTATCCACACAATCCACAGAAGGGAAGGCTACCCAACCATACCGAAGATTGACACCACAAAATGATAAAGAGAGTGGAGACTCACTGTATCAGATGTCGAGGAGGATATGGAAAGGAAGGGAGAGGGCTCGCAGCCGATCAGTGTGACAGGATCACGAAAAAGGCCAGGTCAGTCATCCAAATCTTATTGAGTGAAGAAAGTAGTCCAGAAAATAATTCAAGTAATCCAGATCTGTCAAATTCCAGCAGAAACATATCCAAAAACGTATCAGCAAATAAACAAGCAAACAGGTACCAGCGTGAAGCGGCTGCACAAGCACGCCTGCGTTCTCACACCGGAAGTAGAACAATAGGGAATAGAACAGCTGGCAATGGGAAGATTCCTGGGAAGTGAACAGGTCTACCTGGGCTTCCCTGAATCAACTCCAGATGCACTAGACCACCTGGGGATGGATTTTCCATTCTCTCGGCAGCGTAAGCTGTTGTGAGAGTGCATCAGATGCATTATTGAGCTTTCCCGAGATGTGAATGGCATGCAGCAATTGGGGTCATGTCTAACTCCAGAGTAGGAGATGGTGGGCGAGTTGCTACTTGAGTACTCCGCCTTCTTGCTGTGTTGTTCGTCTGGATGAGCACATTCTTGCCCTGAAGCAATGGCCGAAGCCAAAGCAGGGCAAACGGTACTTCTAGCAATTCAAGAAATCTGATATGCCACCACAGTCAAGGTCCTGTCCAGGAGCATACAACATCCCACAATGTGCCTCGACACTTGTCCTAAGGGCACTCCTGCCCATAGAAAAGCAAAGTGAAAGAACAGCAACAGATCAGTGTAATTGTCACTGGATTTGTGCTATGGCACCATGCAATGCAGTGCAGCCAATCCTGAATCTGTCTCATATGCATCCATTCAAGTGGCATCATCACTTCTGTGGATGCCGTATACCACAGGAGCCTCTGAAATTCCTTCAGTGCAACCGCAGTTTTTCTACTGAATGAATTCAGGCAGTTCAGCAATAACTGAGTCCAGCTCCATACTGAGAAAAGAGGTGCTCTGCACAGGGGAGAGCTTGCATTTTTCCCAGTTGACCCAAAGCCCCAGATGGCTGCAAATCCCTGCAGTCGTACAACAGATCTCATGAGTTTGTAGAGAATCAGATTGCTCACCTCCCCTAACAGGGCAAGTGCACCTTCCATGACCTTGGTGAAGACATGGGAAGACATGGACAGCCTGAAGGGGAGGACCTTGTACTGGTATGTCTGGCCCTTGAAGAAACGGTCTGTGTCGAGATAAAATCAAGACGTGAAAGTATAAGCGTATGAGGGAATGTGTTTCTGCATCAATATCTTGAACGGGAGCTTGTGCAGGGCCTGATTCAAGACTTGCAGATCCAAGATCAGTCGTAACCCACTGCTTTTCTTGGGTACAATGAAGTAAGTACTGTAAAACCCTGACTTCATCTTGGATGGAGGGACAGGCTGTATTTGTCCTTCTCCAGCAGGACTGTGATCTTTGCATGCAGGACACAGGTGTCTGTTTGCCACCGAGGTAAAAAGAGCACCACTGAACCCTGGGGGACGCCTGGCCAACTGAATCACGTAGATGATTGGGATTCTCTGAACTAACCAGCGAGATGGCTTGGGCAGCGCTAGCCAGTCTCCCAAACTCTGTACAAGTGACACCAAAGGGAAAACAGTAAATGTACACATGGTGGGGCAGTGAACTTTTGTACAGTGTGATTTTATGTTTGTTTGTTTGTTGACTAGATGTGTTAGTATTTAGTTAATAAAACTTTTGTGCACAAATTACATGAGTTTCTGATTGTGTCACTGTTTGTGGATAATGTCCCTTTACTCGAATGCACTAGTACTGTAAGCAAACTGTTTTCTACGGCCACAAAAATATAATTTAATATCAGTTGATATGAAATTACACTGAATGTTCACTGGACGAACAGATTAGTTTATGGTCATATTAATTCTGCTTCAGTTACTACTGGCCACATTAGTTTGATCTCTAAATAAATGCAACTTACATTTACAGTAAATGTATTTACTTTAAAAACAGGTGTGTCAAAACTCAGCAGGAATGAGGAACCTGCTTTATAGACTTACAGACAAACCTGTTTTACACACGTCACTCAAACACAGAATCAGGAAAGTATTTAAACTCATCCGTTCAGGGAAAGAGAAACTGAAGTGTAGCTGAGCTGTTGTGTGTTTGTGTCTCTGTGTTCAAGCAGTAAAATGGCAGGAGCCAGAGTTTTTCAGGATGAGTTCATGTGTTCAGTGTGTCTGGATCTCCTGAAGGATCCAGTGACCATCCAGTGTGGACACAGTTACTGTAAGAGCTGTATTACAGGCTGCTGGGATCAGGAGGATCAGAAGAGAGTCTACAGCTGCCCTCAGTGCAGACAGACCTTCAGTCCAAGACCTGCTTTAGCTAGAAACACCATGCTGGCTGAAGTGGTGGAGAAACTGAAGAAGACCAAACTCTCTGCTGACTGTGACGCTGGAGCTGGAGATGTTCAGTGTGACGTCTGTACTGGAAGAAAATACAAAGCCGTCAAGTCCTGTTTGGTGTGTCTGGAGTCTTACTGTCAAACTCATTTTGAGCGTCACGAGGAGTTTCACTCAGGAAAACGACACAAAGTGACTGATGCTACGGGACGACTGCAGGAGATGATCTGCCAGAAACATGAGAAGCTCCTTGAGGTTTTCTGTCGCACTGATCAGAGATGTATATGCATGCTGTGTAAGATTATTGAACATAAAAACCATGACATTGTGTCAGCTGCAGACCAGAGGACAGAGAAACAGGTATTTAAAATTAATCAAGTTAATACTCAGTGCAGTGATCCAGTAGTCTTTTATTTTCTGTGTAGAGTCACATCTTAATTATACAGAAACACAGAAACACTGCCAGTGTGAAGCTCTATGTCTGTGTCAGTTTCACTTTTATAATACTTACGCATGCAGTGTGAAACGAACCTTAATCTTCATGATAATTCATGTTTGATTCATGTATTGTAACTGATCATCACTTCTAGAGTTTGAACCTACAGTCATTGTTAATCAGCTCCACTTTTACTGGATTCATCTGTTCATATGATGATTTAGTGCCAGTAGTTTTCTGTGAGATTCACTATCATCTGTTTGTCCTGCAGAAGCAGCTGAAGGAGACGCAGAAGACGCTCCAGCAGAGAATCCAGCAGAGAGAGAAAGATCTTCAGCAGCTGAAAGAGGCTGTGGAGTCTCATAAGGTGAGTCTGGAGAAGAAGAGAAGTTTGTCTCCGTCTCAGTTCAGACTCACTGAAGCCTGAATCACTGTGTGTCCTAACAGCGCTCTGCACAGACAGCAGTGGAGGACAGTGAGAGGATCTTTACTGAGCTCATCCGCTCCATTAAGAGAAGCCACTCTGAGCTGATTCGGCTGATCAGAGATCAGGAGAAGACTGCAGTGAGTCGAGCTAAAGGACGACTGGAGCGACTGGAGCAGGAGATCAATGATCTGAGGAGGAGAGACGCTGAGCTGGAGCAGCTTTCAAACACACAGGATCACATCCAGTTCCTGCAGGTAACACAGATCTAGAAGAACAGGATCATAGTGGACTTGAGCAGATCCTGCTGTGACAGAGACTCACAGAGAAACAGTTCATGAGTGTCTTTTATATAATCATCAGTCAGACTTTCATCTGATCATCTTCTTCTGAAAGAGACGCCGCTTACAAATGGCTCTCAGCTCTGGAAATCTCTTAGGAATCATTTCTCTGAACTCTTTCTTCTGGAAGATATATTTAGCTGTCAAACACCACTAGCGCCACCAACAGTTCAAAACTTCACTAACAATTCAGCTTTTTACCTAATGTTTCCTTCTGATTTAATACATCATGGTGAAATTAGTGAACTCGATAGCACAGATTCTGAGTAACATTCATCAAAATTGGATCAG